TGGAGTGCAGGAGGGGTGCGGAGTGCAGGAGGGGGCTCAGGGCAGGGGTGCAGGAGGGGTGTAGACTGCGGCAGGGGGTTCAGGGCAAGGGGTTGGGGTGCAGGAGTGGTGCAGGGTGCAGCAGGGGGCTCAAGGCAGGAGGTTGGGGAGCAGGATGGGTGCGAGTTGCGAGGTGCAGGAAGGGGGCTTACTAGGAGGATGGTGAAGCACTCGAATGGATTACCTGGGGGGTGGTGGAATCTCCATCCTTAGAGGTTTTTAAGGCCCAGCTTGACAAACCCTGGCTGGGATGATTTAATTGGTGTTGGTCCTGCTTTGAGCAGGGGATTGGACTAGATGACCTCCTGAGGTCTCTTCCAACCCTAATATTCTATGATTAAGGACTGCTCCTGTCAGAATCCATGTTAGAGTTTAGGTCAACTCTGGTAAGTTTATTAGTATGCATGTAGGTTCTTTTATAGTTATTAATATGCTTTCTCTGTAATGCTTTTTACCTTAAGAATAAAGTAGGTTTGCATAGGAAGTGCTGTTTGGTAACATATCTGTAACAATTACACCTGTTAACAGTCTCTGAAGAGAAAGCAAGCAAGTGTCCTTAGTCAACCTGTCACTTTGTGTTTCCCATCATAGACACCAGGGAACTATGTGACCTGAAAATACCATGGTCAGAAGGGAGAGGGACTTGTGTCTCCACCCAAGAGAGGCAACAGCTGAAGAGCTGGCTGCCTGAGATTGGGTGCCTTGGCTAGACCACTGAGGGTGGGGGGGAAGAGGTGCAACTGTCCTGAACTGTGACAGTGGCATTTCTACCATGGAAAAGTTTTGGTATACTGAAGGAAGGGGATAGCTGGTTAGTTAGTATGTGCGAGAAAATGTACAAATTCCTGATAGCACTCTAGTACTAAAACAATTGTAAATCCAGCAGTGGGCTGCCTCTGCAAAATGCTTAGGAAAGAAACAAAGGGGGATGGGGACGGGGAAGAAATTGGGACTACTCATATACTTAGTGTTAAGCACATACTTAAATGAACCAGGGCCGCATAGAAGATAGCTGAAGCCATCACGGAATTTCTAGAGTTCTGAAGAATCCCAAGACCTTGACAGGGATGTAGACTATCAGTTGACTTGTATGGGGCTGCTCAACCACTTAAAGTTAAGCATGTGTTTTACTGGATCAGAGTCTATGTGCACTATCAACAAAGTGAAACAGACAAGAATCCTGATGTCTAAAGTGCTCTCTGGCAAAGCTCCAGTGATAGAATTCTAGTCAAATTAAATCTGTAGCTTGCAAACAGAATAGATCAGCAGTGGGTAACAATACAGGAACCAAAGAAAGGGCTAGAGATGGAAGAAGGGATAAAGGAGGCAGGTGAGAGAAGCATCACATTGAAAGGACACAGTGGAGAGAGAAAACAGAAAAGAGGACATGAGAAGACAGACAACAAAGGGTATGGACAGGGAGAGGTAAGACCATAGGTTGCTTGGATTTTATGATCTGTAACCTTTTTCCTGCCCTAAATTGATATTTTAGTAGTTTGTCTATTGTTAGAAAGCAGTCTTCACAGATAAATTTCTTCTTACTTAATCTAAATGATTATGCAAGTAAACAGATCCCCTTTACATTTTTCAACACAAAGCACTTTCTTCCAATAGAATAGCTGTAGCATAATTCGGTATTTACTGGCTTGTTTAAGTAAAAGTTCTAGTCTTTGTCACTGTCATTTCAGTACAGAGTGACAAAATCTCTTCTGGGTTTGGAAAAACAAATTTAAAACATGAGTGGGAGAGGCCTGAAGTGCAGTCTTGCATGTTGAACCATGTAAGTACATGCCACCATGTGCCCCAGTAGCTTGAGGCAAACCCAAGCTGTCATAATTGGGTGGACCATGACATTGGATATCAGGTCCAACATGGTCTGGAATCAGGCCTCTGGCAGGAAGGCCCTGTCTTAGGTTGAGTTGAGCACTGCCCCAATAAATTCTATTCCCTGAGCCAGGCCAAGAGTTGATTTCCATTCGTTTATCAGCAGGCCAGCACTTGGAAGGTGGCTTGGACTGTGCTAATGCTGTTCTGAACTTGAGCCTGTGACCGACCTTTGATCAGCCATCATCAAGGTATGGGTAGATGCCTCACCGTTTGAGGAAGGCTGCTACTACCACCATACACTTCATGATAACCCAGGGGGCCGCCGATAGGCTGAAGGGAAGAGTGGTGAATTAGTAGTGGTGCTGACCCACGACAAACCTGAGAAATCTTCTGTGGCCACAGAAGATAGAAATGTGAAAGTATCCATCCTTTAAGTCAAGGGCAGCATACCAATCTCCGGGATCCAGGGAGGTATCTGTTGAGGCAACACCGGTCCAGAATGGGCTGGAGGCCCCCTTTGGCCTTTGGGATTAGGAAATATCAGGCGTAAAACCCCTTTTCTCTCAAGTCTTGTGGAACCTCCTCCATAGCCCCCAATTGTAGGAGGTATTGCACCTCCTGGACAAGGAGTTGCTCGTGAGAAGGGTCCCTGAAGAGGCATGGAAAGGGGTGTATGGCAGGGAGGGGATAAAAACTGAAGGGTATAGCCAATTGTCACTGTACTTAGAACCCAATGGTCCAATGTTATGTATGACTATGCTGGGCTGAAGTGGGACAGACAGTCCAAAAATAAAAGGGGAAATGGATCTGAAGTGGTGACGATATAGCGCCCTCTGGCATACCTTTAAAAGGCCTGCTTGAACCCCTCATAGTACCTCTGAGACCCCAACTGGGAGGTTGAGGTGGACAGGAGTGGTTGGTGCCGATTGTAACCTCTCCCTTTTCTTTTGTAGGGCTCTTGTCTTGGAGACACCGAGAAACAAGGAGTTTGCTGGGGCCCAAAGTGCTTTCTGAAAAATGATGGAGCATAAAGGCCTAAGGATCATAGGGTGGCCCTTGAGTCCTTCAGGCTGTGAAGTCTCATGACTGTCTGCTCTGAGAATAGAGAGGAGCCCTTGAAGGAGAGGTCCTGCATGGACTGTTGGACCTCATGAGGAAGCCACGAGGACTGGAGCCAAGAATGCCTCATGGTGACAATAGAGGCCATTATTCCAGCTGCCGAGTCAGCTGCATCCAGAGCTGCCTGGAGAGAGGTCCTGGCCATATTTTTTCCCTCTTCCAAGAAGGCAGTGAACTCCTGCCTTGAATCTTGGGGCAGGGAGTCTTTAAATTTAGCCAGGGAGTCCCACAGATTATAATCCTATCTTGCCAGCAAAGCTTGCTGGTTATAGATACGTAGTTGAAGGCTACCTGTCGAATAAATCTTTCTTCCAAAAAGGTCCAGTTTCTTCACCTCTTTTTGTTTAGGGGTAGCGCTCAACTGTCCCTGTCTGTCCCTCCTGTTTGCTGCAGACACAACCAGGGACACTGGGGGGGGGGGGTGGAAGTACAAGTATTCAAACCCACTCACTGGTACATAATACTACTTCTCTGCCCAATTTGAGGTGAGGAGCAAAGAAGCAGAAGTTTGCCACAGGGCCTTGACTGGCCCCATCACAGCCTCATTGATGGGTAAGGCCACCTTGGATGGAGCTGCTGCATCCAGGATATTACTAAGGGTGTGTGATGTCTCTTTAAGATCCTCAATTTCCAGACCCAGATTTGCAGCAATCCGCTTCAAAAGGTCCCAATGGGCCCTGAAATCATTCTGTGGAAGAGGACACCTGGTCCCACGACAGCCTCATCTGGAGAGGATAAGCAGGAGGCTTGCACCAAAGGAGGAGCTCCCTCTTCTTCCTCAGCCCCAATGACATCCATTGGAGCCAGCTCCTGAACATCGGTACTGGGGTCAGTACTGGGGTCAGGGTCCAGTGCTGACTAAGAAGGAGTGAAAGCCTGTCTCTCGGAAACCACTGAGTAGGAGCAATGGGAGGGAGGACCCGGTGCCGGGGGAAAATCCCAGGGGTTCCAGTAAGACCACTGCATTGGCCAGTGACCCACTGGCCAGGTGCTGGGGTGGGGGGCCAGCTTGGTGCCGGAGGAGCACTTCGCACTCATGCCAAAGTGCTCGGCACCAAATTGTAGTGGCTCTGCTCTGGTCCGAGGGCAGCTTCCATGAGGATACCCTTCAGCCTAATGTCTGTCCTTTTTAGTGCGGGATTTGAAGTCCCGACAGATCTGGCAATTGTCCTTCAGATGAGTTTCCCCCAAGCACTTCAAGCAGCTGGAATGTGGGTCACTCACAAGCATAGGTTTGCCACAGGATACACAAGGTTTGAAGCCTGGGGACTGAGGCATGCCTGGCCCATGGTGCAAAGGAGTCCCTCAACAACGGAAGCTAATTATGTACATTAATTCTAATTTCAAAAACTATATACACTAAACTATGATAACTAAGAATGAAGTGTTAGAGTCCAAAAAACACTGGGAAGAAAATCTTGCTGAAGCAAGAAGGGTCATTCCAGCAACAGTCATGGGCAGTAAGAAGGAACTGAGAGGGTGCATAGCCAGTAGTGCCCCTTATACTGGCACACGAATGCACAGCTCCAGCAGGCACTAGAGTTGGCCCAATGGATATCACTAAGGGAAAAATCTCCAGCAATGGTACGCAGAGTGGGCACATACCTAACATGGAATGGACATGAACAAGCACTCACAGAAAAATATTGAATACTAAGAGTCATAATGACTGGCTTCCTCTCTCTTCCCCCTCTTGTGCTCAGAAAGCATGAGTAACCTCATTCTCACACTTTTGTGATGAGTGTACCTTTGTAGATCATGTTCTGAACTTCCACAGCATGGAAAAAAGATGACAAAGCACCCTTCTATTTTTACTATGGAACATGAAAACTGCTCAAAGATATTAAAAAACATCATTGTCAAACAAAATAATTGTTTAAAAATCTGTATATAATCTATCCTGTCTGGTAAAATTCAAAAGGCATTATGCACAGGCATTAAAATTTTATATTGTATTAAAATGTAACATCCATTATCCAAATATATCAAAATCCACTCACAAATAATTGTATTACCTTTGTATCCTTGTTCAGTCTCCCTGAGATCAATTTTAGTTATTGGCTTGAAATCGTTGTCCCATAACCGAATACAACCATCTCTCCCACCAGTGGCAAAACCTTCCTCACAAGCATACATACTAAAAATTCCAGCCTGTTAATCAATAGTATAATAGTTTTGAAAGTTGATAACAATTTAAACATAAAAACAAATCCAAGTGTGTTTGAGTATGCTCTTGTTAAAGGCCAAACTATTAAGAACTGTTAGATAATACTGTTTAAAAGACAAGACGCTCTCCACTCAGAAAACAAACCAAACACACAGGTGACAGTTTATTTCAAGTGCTCTCTTACCAATCCATTGATTGTGAATTATAATGGAACTTTCGTATAAATGTCATATATATAGCATACATATGTGACTATAAATTAAATTTAATGAATGTTGTTTCAAAAGAGTATTAAGTAAACGATGGGACACTTACAATAAATTGTCACCCAGAATAAACAAAAACAAGCAAACAATTGACACAAATATTCTTACAGGTGAAGAGATGGCTCAGACAATGTTTCATGAATTCATTTCAGACATCATTTGGAATCTGATATAAACTGAAAGAGTGTGAATTTCATTTTTTGTTGTCACAAAAAGTATCTACTTAGTTTGAATTGCTTTTTCACTTTTAAAAAGGGCAAAATTTATGGATTACCATGTTCTTCTACATTAAAATATTTTTACAGTACTTGTTAGAATGCTTACTAATGTATCACCCACCTTGTCTCTAGTATAATATCTTTTATTGGACCAACTTCTGTTGGTGAGAGAGACAAGCTTTCAAGCTTACATAGAGGTCTTAATGAGGTTTGGGAAACTTAAATCAGAGTGTCACAACTAAGTACAAGATAGAATAGGTTGTTTAGCATAAGTAGTTAACACATATTTCAAGGGATCATTCAAGATGAAGTGGCCATTAGTAGGGTATAGATTATTGTAATAAGCCATAAATCCAGTGTTTCTATTTAGTCCATGATTTTTAGTGTCTAGCAAAGTTATGAATTTAAGCTTCCAGACTCATCTTTTGAAAGTGTTATGCAGGTTTCCTTTGGGGATGAGGACTGATAGGTCAAATGTAAAGCGATTGCTTTGTGAAAAGTGTTCACCCACAGATGAGGTGATGTTTTTATCTTTTATCATTTTTCTGTGCAAGTTCACCCACATAGTTGTTATTGGGGCATTTAGTGCACTAAATGAGGTACACCACATGTTGTGATAGGCATGTGTAGAGCTCATGGATCTTGAAAGGTGTGTTGTGGGATTTTTTTTTTATCATTGTAGTAGTGGAAGATATGTCTGCAAGTTTTGCATCTGTTGTTCTGGCAGGATCTGGTGCCACTTTGAGCTGGTATGTCCTGGTCTGTGGGGAGCTTGTGTATGATGAGGAGGTTGGAAAGGCTGGGAGGTTATTTGAAGGCCAGAAGAGTGGGTTCAGGAAAGATTTATTTCCAGGTGGGGTCCCCATCAAATATGGGTTGTAGTTGTTTGATAATACCCCATATGGGTTCCAGTGATGGGTGCTAGGTGACAACTAGGGGTGTGTGGTCAGAGGGGGGTGGTTATTTCTGTATTGAAGCAGTTCCCCCTGGGGTATTTGGGTGGCCCATTCCATGATGGAACTCTATTTTTGAATATTACTGTGATTCTTCATACAATGTCAGCAAAGCTGTGTTTTTCTTAGGCTCATAACTACTGAGGCTCAGCAACAACTATATATCGAAATTGTTGTTTCTACCAAGGTTCCAGAAATATGCTATAAGAGCTACTCAGGGGATTTATAAAACTGCTCTAAGGAAACAATCCCTATCCACATGTTACAAAAGGTAACATGAACATATGTAATCTAATTAAGGCACTAAAGTTGAATGTTTAGGAATATGAAATAAACATTTACAGTAGTAAAATATGCCTCTGATATTTTTTAGCTCCAATGTTCATCTACACTGAATAGATTGAGATTTTTGTTTGCTTCAAATTACATTTTTAGTATTTAATGAGAGTTTTTAAAATCATTTCCATGTTATGTGAGCAAGCCAAAGAGGAACTCCACTGTAAAGCAGATTTGCTCATATTCTTATTGCCTTGGTTAATGAGAAAAACACATAAGATGCTTATTATGCTTAAGATCTCATTTTTATGAAAAACCTTAGTACAGAATATTGGGAATCCTATTTTAAATAAGACTAGCACATTAGAATATATGTTTATACAATTAGTCTATTCAGAACTGAAGCCACTTTAAAATCTGTCAAGATGATACCTTACATTTAAGTCTGTTCCATGAAATCAGTGTCAAAACTACAAACAAACAAACAACAGCAGCAGTTCTGTCAGTAGAACAAAATACTGTAGCTAATACTTAAATACCTACATAATCAGAGTATAAAGTGAACAATTCATAAAGTCCCACTGAACACTATACATTCTGTTATGATTTGACACAGATTAGAATCTATTGAAATATCAAAGATCCATTACAGTTCTTCAATTCAGTGAACAAGGTTAATTTTCATAAATTAGAATTAAAAACACAACTTACACTATGAGCTCCTTGAATTGTGCGGACTAGGTTTAGCCCTTTCCAAACATAGATGTCTCCATTTAAAGCACCAGAGTATGTGACATCTTCTTTTGCACATGCTAAGCAAAGGATAGTTTGGAGATCTCCTGTTTTGCCAAATATTCCTCTTTTTGCTGTCAGTGCATTTCCACACAACGTCCAAAACTATTAAATGTAAATGATACATGAAGAGAAGTCTCTGCAGCATTTTTTGTTTTGACATCAGTTTGCAAATCTTACAGACATATCTCCGCAGGGCCGCCCGGGGGTGGGGGGGGGGAGGACAAGTGAGGCAATTTGCCCCAGGCCCCGGGCCCCACAGGGGCCCCCACGAGAATATAGTATTATATAGTATTGTAACTTTTTTTTATGGAAGGGGCCCCCGAAATTGCTTTGCCCCAGGCCCCCTGAAGCCTCTGGGCGGCCCTGTATCTCCGTATTGTTCAGTAACTGAGCTAGACACTCTTGCCTCTTAACTGACTGTTCCATCATGCTACAAATAACTTATAAAGAATGGGAAACTACTACAGTATATCTGAAGATCACATATACAATGTGATAGTTCAATTTTTTGTGTATGTATGTATGAAACTGAAAAATAACTCATGGTGTTTTATTATTGTTACCCTCATTCTTTTAATAACCTCACCCTCACTTTGTCTGTTGCCATTTCATGCGTGATATGTAATAGAATGGAATCTTCTTAAACAAGGGACCTGTCTCATTTGTTTGCAGAGCTCCATACATACCTATGGGCTGTAGAAATACAAAATAAATAAAACTAAAGACCAAGTCCTGAGGTCTTCTCTTATTACTTATTCGTGTAAAATTCCCATCCAGTTTGCCTGATTGAGGATCAAGTAAGACTCTCAGAATTTGGCCCAACAGTAGTGTGTGCTGATAGGAAGTCATGAAAGACAAGAAGATGAGCCATTTATAACCATTAGATTGTAATCTGAGACAAATTAAGAACATGCTTTGGGCATTTATAACAAAATTCAGATCTTGATATGAACTTCCTTAGAGTTGAAAGTATTTGGATCAAGGATTTTGGTTTGGGGCCCATCTCCAATTTCCATATCTTTTTAACAGGGGCTTAACATAGTGGGGAGGGATTGCTCAGTGGTTTGAGCATTGGCCTGCTAAACCCAGGGTTGTAAGTTCAATGCTTGAGGGAGCCACTTAGGAATCTGAGGCAAAAAATCAGTACTTGGGCCTGGTGAAGGTAGGGGGCTGGACTCAATGACCTTTCAAGGTCCCTTCCAGTTCTAGGAGATAAGATAATTAATTATAGGTGTGGAAGGGGAACATTTTCCACACAGCTTTCAAACTTAGGGAACACTATACTCCCCACCCTAACTTTTGGTTGGCTGTAGAGGGAGAAAGAGGAGGCAGAAAATTATACCTAGCTTAAGAGTCATTAGAACTCATAACTGCTGCCCCATTAACAACAGTTTAGCAAAATAATTCAGCAGGAGGTGGCATATCCAGTGCAGCCTCCACCCCAGCAGGGGCTATTGATGTGGACACCACAGCAAAATGAAGACAAAAAGTTGAATGGAATGTGGGGGAGGGATAGCTCAGTGGTTTGAGCATTGGCCTGCTAAACCCAGGGTTGTGAGTTCAATCCTTGAGGGGGGCCACTTGAGGATCTGGGGCAAAATCAGTACTTGGTCCTGCTAGTGAAGGCAGCGGGCTGGACTCGATGACCTTTCAAGGTCCCTTCCAGTTCTAGGAGATGGGATATCTCCATTAATTTAATTTAATTTAAAAAAAAGCGGCAGGCTGCAACTTTTATTAAACTTTAACAAAAGGGAGGGGCCCTACTTGTCCATCACCCATATTCTCCTATACCAGGCATTTAATTGGCTCCAATGAGGGGATTATAGGGCTCCTTACCATATAACACATAACGCAGGGTGACACTCCTCAGCCTACCCCCAGGAGTCAGCTCTCTCGGAGTCCCATGTGGGGGACAGAGGATGCAGCAGGGTAGGGACCTCAGCCTATGAGGGCCACAAGGTCTGCCTCTATCACATGAGCCCTTCACCAAAATCCCAGTCTTTTACCTCTTGGAGCCGTTCATTTTATTCTTTTAACCACACTAGAAACCAGCTGCAAGTTGTGATAAATAAACACCATCACTCCAGTACCTCAGTCAGGCAGTAAGAGCATTCCTATTTAATCCACTGTGGCTTGAAGATGCTGCAAGGATGCCAAAAGATTCTCTGGTCTTCTGCTAATTGGCCCATGGAAGAAAAAATTCCTTCCTGACTCCCTAAAAAGGCGATCAGCTAGACCCGCAGCTCCTGTCTGGCCGGGTTCCCATTCCTAGTTCGGATAGGTAGGGTGGGCTGCTGGAATGGAGCTGGAAGAGGCTCCACATTGTCCCTGCAACAGTTAAATCTTGGGAGCTGGGGAATGTTGGCCAATCTGCACCCCTCTCCCCCAGCTGACCAATGGGTGCCTCCCAGGGGGAGGAGCTGAGTGTCTCCCTTCCTTGCTACTGGGACTGTCCCCCTTTCAGCACTGACCCCACCAACTTCCCCACCCATTGATGTGGATGGCCAGCATTTCTGACTAGGCAGGAGGTAGCAGCTGTGATTCCTGCCTACAGCAAGCTCAGCAACAGACTCAACTCCATCCCAGCCTGGGGCCTTCTGGCCAACTGTCTATGGGACACAGATTGCCAGGACTGAGTATCTACAGAAGATAGAACTCAGACATTGCTCCTCCTGCTGCACCACTTAGGGATAATTTTATATGTGGCAAGTCACTTTTGCCAAGACTTTTGCTAAACTTAGGCACCTAACTACATATTCAGGAAGCTAAATTAAACTGATCCTGTGAAGTAATTAATAAGAAAAATAAGAATAACACCTACCTCTTAAATATGTTTTCATCTGTAGACCTCAAAGCTCTTCACAATCTTTTAAATGTATTTAAAAGTCAATGGTACTTATTCATCTGAAATTGCACACAGGCTTTGAGAAATGTGGAAGGTTGCAGGTCTGGCTTTGATACCCAGCCTAGCCATTCAGCAAAAGCTCAGCTGTAGTACACTTCAGAAATGGTTTGGATTGCTTGAATAGAGAGAAGCTCAGGCCTAGTCTTCACTTACCGGCTGGTCCGGCGGCACGCCATCGATGTTCT